ACTGTATGTAGACACACAGTATGAGGTTTTTATTTCATTTAGGACGCTGCACACATAGACCGTAGAATGCAAGGCATCTCACTAGGGTTTGGATCAGAGCCAGCGCATAAATGACACAACATATGGTCGAGTTATCCGACCTTCCACTTGTGCAACTGTCTCGTAACTCCGTACTGGCTCTTCCCTTCCTGAAAGAAACAAATACACATGCATCAGTTTCTGTTTGTAATACAAGCAACAACAAATCATTCCATTCTGTGTCAGTATTCAGGGCCGTGCTGTGCTGCCATACGGGTTGTAACTCACCCTGTGAGCCTGTACTGTCTCGACTTCGGTCCTGTCAGAAGGAAATGTAGGGGACAGCGCTTATTAAATTGTAATAGATTGTTTCCTACATCAGTTTAGATGTAATTAGGGGTTAACATTGTTGAAACATTTGCAGTTAGCCTATTGTACAAATAAAAACAATATAACAACAATTACATAAAACCGTGAATAACTGTGCAAGGTGAATTAAGCTATATGCCCATACAAAGCATTAAACTTTATTTATTTATGTCATTTGTAATACATACAGTGGGTACGGAAAGTATTCAGACCCCCTTAAATTTTTCACTCTGTTATATTGCAGCCATTTGCTAAAATCATTTAAGTTAATTTTTTTTCCTCATTAATGTACAATCTCGCCTGCGCGATGTCTATCATGTTCATCTGATGTGCGCTACTGTAACGTATATAAATGTAACTTTTTAATACGCAGTCGCAGGGGAAGTTCCCGACATTAAACATATAACCAACAGGGAGACTTCAGATATGAAAAAGCTGATGTTTTCTCATTAAAATCGTACGATTTCCTATTATTTCAATAGACAGGAACATCATCTTGCCATTTAGTGTCCCCGTCAGGGACTATGTTTTAGCGGAAGGGCAGCATCTAATGAATTTACTAGGAAAAAGTAACATGTTAATACATAGATTTTTGGTTTGGTACTCGAGGCGTGCTGTATTGTGAATAAGTTGCAGTGACTCGTGCCTAACACAATATTCCTATTCACAATACAGCACGCCTCGAGTACCTTATTGCTTACATATTATATTATCTGCAAGTACAGTTCATTAAAATATGTGACCCTGGAGCACAAAAGCAGTCTTAAGTCGCTGGGGTATATTTGTAGCAATAGCCAAAAATACATTGTATGGGTCAAAATTATAGATTTTTATTTTATGCCAAAAATCATTAGGATATTAAGTAAAGATCATGTTCCATAAAATTGACCCTTATGACTGGTTTTGTGGTCCAGGGTCACAAATAGTATTTATACTTTTATTATTTAAAGTACTTTTAAGAGTCGCACCAAAAGTGCATACTCAATGCAATTAGGCACACTTCTTTTTCACAAGGTCATCCTAAAGTGACAAGGTGAGCATGTGGACGTTTTCCCTGTGCATTTAAGTATTTTTTTCTGCAAATATCAATTTAGGGACTTTATGTATGAATCCCACAATGCTAAAAAACGCAGGTAACAGATACGAAGCCTAAATATTAATTTCCCAGGAAAACCCACAGAAAGCACTGAGCACGTGTGCTGGATGCAATGGTGTGTGTTTGTGAGCGCAGTGATCTGTGTCTACAGCATGAGCCCTACAGGCAGAACAAGCTCACAATGCCCGAGAGTTTTCATAAAACAACTGCTTGAGAGACTCCCCGGGCTGCAAACACACATCACTGCTGCTCTAAACACATCACAGCTGATTAGAGAGGAGGAAAACCAATCTCATATGAGAGCCGCCGAATGTTTTTTGGAGTAATTGAAGTAATTTAAAGCCGTTTGTGTTTTAGCAGGGATCTTACCCTTTCTTTCGACTTCAACCGCGTCCACTCTTTTCTCTCAACCCTGGAAGAGAGATGCATCTGAATGAATGACACGAGATTTATAACAAAACAGCAGCAGAAGGAACACTGAGTTTACTAAGAATGAACTGTGCTGTTGTTGTACAGAAAGACTGTACAGCTGATAAGATGGTGTGATATTGCTTAACTATAATATAAGACAAACTCTTTTTTCCCCCCTAAATCTTAAATTTGGAGGGCATACTAATTGCTTTCTAATAGGCTACATCATGCAGTAAATGTGTGCACACTCATGGTGTGTTTTTGTAAAGTGAGTGACATACTGGATAATGTCAGTTCATTCATGCATTGTTAAAACAGCAATTATGATATTATCATGATACATATTACACACTCCTAGTGCAGAAAGCACCTGTACATTTGAGCTGAAATAGCACATGCAAAAATGGCACAAATGTTTAGTGAATTCGTCCCACATTCTTATGACATTACAGCCAAAAAAACTTACATGAGACTGATGTAATAAAACTAAAATATGTGGAACTGTTTTCAGAATTGATAACATTATGAAATGTTTCTTGAGCATCAAATCAGCATATTATACATACACACACACACACACACACACATATATGTATATATATTAATATATAAAACTATGTGACCAGGATCATGTAACATAATTTTCTTTGTAATATCAAAACGGTTTTTAATGAATAAGCTTGGCAACGAGCAGATAAGATACAATGGTAAAATATATAAACATAAACCAATAGTTGTTTTATTGAGAAATCATATTGTTTTTAAAAAATTTTCCTGATGTGAAATGTACCCTAAATTATATGAATAAGAAAAAACTTTCAAATATAATAAAATACAAAACATTTATTTTAAATTGTAATAATATTTCCCAATATTACTGTTTTTACTGTATTTGTGATCAAATAAATTCAGCCTTGATGAACATAAGAGACTTGTTTCAAAAACATTGTAAAAAAAATCGAACGACCCCAAACTTTTGAATAGTAGTGTAATTTTCATTTTTATAATCTGAGGGAGTCAAAATTATATTGTAACATTTCATATGCTGTCAATAGAGCTTAAATTAAGTATTTATCCCAGAAGTTTCTTTTCACATCACTGCAGAGAAATGTTTGTGCGGATGAACGTCTCTAGAACACGTCCTTGTGTTAGAACGAAAGCGAGTTAAAAGCTAAAACGCCTCTTTAAGCCGTTTGAATATTATTTTGTTCAAGGACAACAGAGCAGATAACACAAGAGAAAGCAGCGACACACACACACACACACACTCTCACTCACACACACACACACACACACAC